AGGAGAGGAGGAGGAGGGGGAGGAGGAGGATCGAGGAGGAGGCTGACGAGCAGGAGGAGGAGGAGGAGGTGGAGGAGGAGGGGGAGGAGGAGGAGGAGGAGAAGGAGGAGGAGGAAAGCAGATCGAGGATCGAACGTCGAGCACTCCCCCGACGGCGGCGGGGAACGCCTGACCCTCCCCGGACGCGCACGCCAGGTGCAGCGCTGTCTGCTTCAGGTCGTCGCGGGCCTCTGCGCGCAACGGGGGGCGCCGCCTCGCGACGCCCCGCAAGGCCCAACCTTCGGGGCGACGAGGACGGCAAAGAGGAGGAGGAAGAGGAGGAGGACGAGGAAGAAGAGGAGGACGAGGAGGAGGAGGAGGAGGAGGAGGACGAGGAGGCGGAGGAGGAGGGGAAAAGGAGGAGGAAGAGAAGGAGGAAGAGGAGGAGGAGGACGAGGAGGAGGAGGAGGAGGACCAGGGATCATGGACCAGGGTGACGGGGACGCAATGTCCCACGGAGGCCTCTATGAGTCCTGAGAGGGAACCTCTGTGGGGCCCCGCCTAAGAGAAAAGCCTACCCCAGCTCCTCGAGATCCCCAATTGGAACCACTCCCAGGGTGCAGGCTGGCCCCAGCTTGGATGACATTGAGGGCATGCTTGACCGCCTTGGGCGGCCCGCTGCGACTGGGGTAGAAACTCTTGCTAATCCGCGCAAGGTTCACGTGACCATTGCGAGCGAGCTTGCCTTCGCAGGGCGCGGCCAACTTGACCAAGGTGGACGTGGCCGTGCAACCGCATGTATGACAGAAGTACGTGCTATGCTCAGACCACTGGCACATAACAAATGCTTTATGTACTCCCTGGGAGCCTAGGACAATGTAAGAATTACACAAAGAACTATGAATGCTGGCGCACATTCAACCAGCAACCTTTTGGGCTGGGGCTGGGATGCACGGGGTAGTGGCCGCCTCCCCCTATGGGCCTCCCAAGCGAGCAACAATGTGTCGACCAAGGCCCTGCGAGCACGCTGGCGCACCTGTGTATGCTGCGACGGCACCCGCGACGTCGGTCCAGGGGGCCCGCTCGATCACCCCCCGCCCCCAGGCCACGAAGGCCGCGAGCTCCGCCAGAGCGTCAGCCAACTGCTCTGAAGAGAAGCTCGGGAGCGGCCAACTTGCTTGGTTCCGTCCACGGGGGAACCTGAACGGTCCTCGTTGGAACCGCGGGCGCGGACGGACCTGGCAGCGTTCCGACCGAGAAAACGGCCGCGATTGTCAATGTGGAAACTGTTTCTTGCGGTCGAAGGCAGCGAGCTCGGCCCTCGGGGCGGTCTGGCGGGCCACGACGCCGCCGAGGCCGCCGCCCGCAAAGCGCCACGCGCCAGAGCGGCGCTGGAGCGCGCAGAAACCTGCCGCGTCCTCGTCGAACTGCGGGGTGGTGACCGCCGCGCTCGGAAGCCCGCGCCAATGCAAGGCTGGGGCCAGCTCGTGCTGGAACCCCGCCTGTTCCCGCAGGTGGTCTGTCCATGTAGTCGTCATGCCCGCAATTGGACGGGCGCTCCTAGACGCGGCGGAAGTCGCCCTCGTCGGCCAGGCCGCATCGCGCGCATGCGCGGTTGACCTGGCACCCCGCCTCGGCCTGGCGGACACGCGGCCGCTGGCCGCCAGACAACACGATGAGGCCCCGGCTGTAGGTGTCCATCTGGCCCTCGCCAAGGAAGCGGCGCTGCTCCTTGTGGACACCGCTGCTGTCGGCGCCGTCGGAAAGGTCGGCGCCGTGGTGGTGCTTGCTCACGCTGCTCCGCAGCTGGCGCCTGATCGCCTGCATGAGCTCCAATTCCGCGGCCGAGGCATCCACGCCCAGGTCATCACCCTCGGGGGGCCTCCAGCCACTGCCAGCGCCGGCGGCCCGCGGGCGGCGCGCCGGCGCCCTCGCGGCCCCCGCGCTCTTGAGCTTGGCGAGGACCTCGGGCCAGGCCAGCTCGATCCGTGGGTGGAACAGCGGCGCGCGCCTCCACGGGTCCGAAGGATTGCAAAAAAAAACCCGAAGGATTGCAAACAATTGCAAATCAACCTTGGGTTTTTTTTTTGCAATCCTTCCTCCACGGGTCCAGCCACTCGGCCAGCAGCCGGCGGCGGAGCTCGATGGTGGGGCCCGCGTCGCCGCGCGGCGCGCCGAGGAGGCCGGCGAGGCACCTGCCGGGGCTTCCGCCTGGAGGCCGCCGCCGCGCGCCCGAACCGCAGCGCCGCCGACGGCGCCAGCCCCGACACCTGGTGCTCGCGCGCGGCCTTGGAGCGGGCGGCCGTGGACCTAGGGCGCCTTCGAAAGTCGGCTGAGGCGCACCTGCTGGCGCATTCTGGCGACGCGCCCGAACGTGGAGGGCGCTGATCGCGTCCTACGGGCCGTCTTCCTCTGCGGCCGCCGCCTGCCAGCTGCCGCATCCACGCCGAGGGCGACGGTGGCGACGGCAGCCTTGCAGGGGGCGCCTCGGCGCTACGAAGCCCTCTCCGAGTCGCGGCCCAGCGCGGGGCGGCTGGACGCGGTGGCGGTCTTGCCCGACACCTGGAGGCTCTGCGCGTCGAGGCCCTCCTGAAGGGCGACCGCCGCTCCAGGGGTGGTGGGGCGCACTCTGCTCTGTGCGCCCTCGGCCCTGGCGGCGGCGTCGTCCGCGTGAAGGTCCATGGCCGCGCGCGCTCCCGCTGGCGGCGCGCCTCCGCAACTGCCAGGGTCGCAGGCCCCGGCCTGCGCGGCGCCAGAAGAAGTGGGCCTCCGGCGCCAGCGCGACGGCCAGGAAGCCCTGGCGGACCCCCGCCCTGGGGAGGCGGTCGAGGCCGATGCCGGCGTAGAACTTCGCGGTGTCCAGCAGTCGCGCGGCCGCGCAGAAGCCCGGGGCGAGGGCCGTCTCGCCAATCATGGAACGGGCGACGGCGGCCCGCGAGGCCGACGAGCCCTTGGTTGCCGCGCCCCGCCAGGAGTGCCCAGCTTCGGCCCACTGGTCGGCGGCGGCAGCCCTGGCCTCCGACCGCGTCTTGGCCGCTGTGGCCAACGTGCCGAACGCGCGGTCGTCGCCCGCAGGTTTCGGCACCGCGGCGCCGACGGTGGCGGCCAGCTGCTGCGGCCGCATGTCCTTGGCCTCCGCGAGCTTGAGAAGGTTGGCGAGGTCTTGCCTCGCGGCGCGCGGCAGCCTCTGGATGTCCCGCCTCAGCTGCGGCTGCTGCGCGATCTGTTCACAGTGCGCGGAGGAGAGGGAAACGATGATGGGGCGGCGGCGGAGGCGACGAGGGCGACAATCGGGCGAGAGAGAGAGAGAGAGCGGATCGAGGAACAGCAAGTGGCACAAACATGAATTCTCGGAGTTCCCCGCGGACTTCCGAAAGTGCATGTTTGCACGTCGGTTGGAAAAAGGAAGCAAAAGCACGAAGCAGGAAGGCGGCTGAAGGAGCATGGGTCCAGGCCCTCCCAGAGAATAACATAACCTAGCAAAAGAGCAGATCTATTCGCTGGAAGCAGGAAGGCGCCTGAAGTAGACTGGGCTCTGGCGACTGGGCTCTGGGGTTCCCAAAAAATCCTGCTTTTTTCAGCGAACCGGCTTGCGTTGCCATATCTTGTTCCTCGAGAGAGGGGGCGGCGGCGTCCTCCAATCCCCATCCTCCCTCCTCCTCCCTCCCCACCTCCTCCTCCTCCTCCTTCCTCCTCCGCCTCCTCCCTCCGCTCCCTCCTTCCCCTCACCTCCCGCCTCCCCTCCTCCTCTTCCTCCTCCTCCTCCTCTTCCTCCTCCTCCTCCTCCTCCTCCTCCTCCTCTTCCTCCTCTTCCTCCTCCTCCTCCTCCTCCTTCCTCATCCCTGTCCTCCCCACCCTCCTTCCTGCGCCCCCCTCCTCCACCCTGCCCCTCCTCCAAGGCCCCCGCGCGCAGCAGGGCGGCGAGCCGACGAACGCGGCGCCTGGGCGTTCGCGCGCTTCTGCAGCAAGCAGCGCGTCACCTCGGTGAAGGTGAATGGTGGATGAAGTGGAGGATGAGGAGGTGGAGGAGGAGGAGGAGGAGGAGGAGGAGGAGGAGGAGGAGGAGAAGGCGGAGGAGGAGGAGGAGGAGGAGGAGGAGGAGGAGGAGCGGTAGGAGGAGAAGGAAGAGGATGAGGATGAGGAGGAGGATTTTTTTAACATCGACAACTGCCAAGCCATACTCTCTGGGAGGACGGCGCCTCCCCCCAGAGGAGGGGGCAGGGCTGGGTGGCGCCACCTGCCACTTTCGCCACCAGCCCTGCCCCACCGCTGACGTCACACCTGCCGTGAAGCCCACCACAAGCGTGAACCCGAAGAAGACCTCAACGGACAGGAGCACGCACGGCATCATGAAGAGCTGCCAGAGTCGTCCCAATCCTCGTCGAACAAACGCCTGAGACACGAACTGTGCCACGATGTACGGCAGCGCGGACGGGCTGCCACATCCGCACCACGAGGAATGGGCATTCCGCATGCCCTGCATGAGCACCTCCCTGGCCCGCGTCGCCGACGAACGAGGGTACCATCGCAACGGGCGCAACCAGGATCAGAACCAGAGACCTCGAGCAGCCACGGCGGTACATCAGGCAGCCGCCGCACGAGGCCCGCCTCGCGGATCGCCTCGCTGATCTTCTCGCTGTAGTCCTCCGCGGTCGCCTCGGCGGTGGCATTCTGGTACTGCTGGGAGTCCGAGCCAGAGACGGACTCGACGCTCTTGGAGGGGCCCACGCAGTCCGACGCCACGAACACGCCGAGGCCCTCCACCTCCACCGCCGGTACCTTCACGTGGCAGCTCCCGTCCTCGGCCTCGTTGCACCCATTGAGCACCGCAGCAGGGTGCGCCTCCAGGTAGGCCAGGGTCGCGCCTGAACAGGGCGGCGCCATCGGGGAGGACGAGCAGGCGGTGGCCTCCCCAGGGCCTGCCCACCGCTCCCCCTCGGGCGCCTCGGATCCTTCATCCTCCACGAGCGACGCGTCGGGCGACAGCACCGCAGCAGGGTGCGCCTCCAGGTAGGCCAGGGTCGCGCCTGAACAGGGCGGCGCCATCGGGGAGGACGAGCAGGCGGTGGCCTCCCCAGGGCCTGCCCACCGCTCCCCCTCGGGCGCCTCGGATCCTTCATCCTCCACGAGCGACGCGTCGGGCGACACCAGGCCGTCAGCAGGAGGTGGCAAGCAGCACGATGAGAAAGCGACCGCCCCGCAGCTGCACCGCACGCCCATCGCACGGCATGCAGCCCGCGGCACGAACGACGCGGCCTCAGCCCGCATGCCACCAGCAGAGTGCCCCAGCCGAGGCCCAGCAGCAGCCCAGGACAGATCCGCCGAGGACGCGGCTGTGAAGCCGCCAGGCGGCACTCGGCACGCGTGCCAGGCGGCGTTCCGCCTCAGCCGCATCGCGCCAGGAACGCGATCTCCTGCGGCAATCCTTTGCAGAGCCGGCCTCGACGCGCGCTCGCGGTCCACCCACGAGCCAGGGGCGCCGCGAGCCGCCACAAGCGGCCGCAGAGCTGCTTCCAGAGCAGCGCGACCGCGCCGTCGAGCAGCACGCCTCGCCGCGGAGGCGCCGAGGAAGTCCTTCTCCATGATCCTCAAAACACTGGGCCGCCACATCGGCGGGCAGCCCCCCGCAGCCATCCAGGGCGCGCCCGCCGCCGCCGCCGCCGAGCCGCCGAACATGGGCGAGAAGGCTGCGGAGAAAGCGGGGAACACGGCCTGAGCCAAAATGGCTACGGACGGGATGAGGAGGAGGAGGAGGAGGACGAGGAGGAGGAGGAGGAGGAGGAGGAGGAGGAGGAGGATGAGGAGGTGGATGAGGAGGAGGAGGAGGAGGAGGAGGAGAAGCGGAGGAGGAGGAGGAGGAGGCGACGGTAGAGGAGGAGGACGAGGATGAGATGAGGATGAGGAGGAGGAGGAGGACGAGGAGGAGGAGAAGGCGTGAGGCGGAGGAGGCGAAGGAGCGGTAGGGGAGAATGTGCAGATGGATGATGATGATGCATGATGATGATGATGATGATGAGGATGATGAGGAGGAGGAGGAGGAGGGAGGAGGAGGAGGAGGAGGAGGAGGAGGAGGAGGAGGAGGAGCGGGAGGAGGACGAGGAGGAGGAGGCGGAGGAGGAGGAGGGACAGGAGGATATGAGGAGGAGGAATCTGCAGAATAGCGCGAACAGAAGGACAGGCGGGGGAGGAGGAGGAAGAGGGGGAGGAGGAATTGAGGAGGGCCAGGAGGAGGAGGAGGAGGAGGAGGAGGAGGGCGAGGAGGAGGAGGAGGAAGTGAGGAGAAGGACGACGAAAAAGACGCGCAGGATATAGGTTTTGCCCGCTGCGTGGACAGAGTCTTCAGGGCAACGCTGTGTGCGGCAGGCGGTGGGGAGGCCCGCGCGACACATCTTGAGAATAGCTTGGGCCCTCCCTCTTCCTCGTCTTTGAAGGGGCCCAGGGACACACAATGACCGAGAGGAAACCGGCCGCGTACGCAGATTTATATCTTCCTCCCGGGACCTCTTGATTCGTTTGCTTCGACCGCACCCTTTGGAAGATGATGCCCTTCCCCCCCCGAAACTTCAATACGTCTTCATATGGCCTCGGAGAGGCCCAAGACGGCCTCGAGACGGCCCGCGAGGCCCCGGTCCAGGTCCTAGGATGTGTGTACTTATTTGTGACAAATGAATACACACACATCCTAGGATTCCCACTGCTTTTCCATATTTTCCGGGTTTTCGTGTTCCCCCCCCACTTGCGAGAGTTTCCCACATTCTCCCTGGGATCGACGATTCATGGTGTCTGTGTGTTCTTGCCCCCTCCGGAGTCTTCCCCGTGATCATCCGCATCAACAGCAACTCGTGCAAGGATGCCCGAATGGACTCCTCCGTCCAGCATCGCTTCCATCGAGCGTGGCATACGCAGAAGGCATCTATACACCACCACCGTGCCGGGCCAGGGCCATCCTGGGCCCTGGGATGGTGTACACACCCTCCTGGCCGAGCCAGGAGGGTCTATACACCATCCTGGGGCCCAGGATGGCCCTGGCCCGGCACGGTGGTGGTGTATAGATGCCTTCGCTGGATGGCACGCCAGCGATGCGGCGACAAAAAAAAAGAGCGCGCAGGCGCCGGGAGAACGGGAACGCCCGGGCCAACGCCTTCTGCGCGTCCTGCCTCGCGCTGCCACGCGGTCGCCGCCGGGCCCGCGCCACGCACTGCGAGGCGAGCAGGGGCAGAAGGGAGGGGGGAGATCGATGCCCGAGGGGAGGGCGGCGGCGGGGGAGAGCGCGCTCAGCGGGAGACGAGGCGGGGGCGCCGGGGCCAACGCCTCTGCAGGCTCCAATCCCGCGTGCGTGCAGTCGCTCGCGCAGCGCGAATCCGCCGGCGGCATGCCACGGGCGCGGCGGGAAGGAGCGCATGCGCCGGGAGACGGCCACGCCGAGGCCAGCGCCGTCTGCGCGCTCTGCCTCGCACTGCCACGCGGTCGCCGCCGGGCCCAGCCACGCACTGCGAAGCGAGCAGGGGCAGAAGGGAGGGGGGAACTCGATGACCGAGAGGAGGGCGGCGGCGGGGAAAACGGGGCGGGGAAGGAGGGGGAGGAGGAGAAGGGGGCGGACGAGGAGGAGGAGGAGGAGGAGGAGGAGGAGGAGGAGGAGGAGGAGGAGGAGGGGGAGGAGGTGGAGGAAGAGCAGGAGCAGGACGAGGAGGAGAAGGTGGAGGAGGAGGAGGAGTTGAGACGAGTCCATCTCGTGAAGTTCGAAGTGCAACCGAGCAGGAGGCGGAGAACGCGGCGGCAGGATTCCCAATATGCTCCACACCTGCTGGATGCTCGTCTTCCCCATCCGCCTCCTACATGCTCGATCACCTCCTCGGAATCGACGATGCTTAGCGTCTGTGTAATGTTTTTGTTTTTTGTTCTCTCTCTCTCTCTCTCTCTCCTGAAAATCGTCCTCCCCCTGGGGCCTCCTCGATGACTCGTCAGCGCGGGGCCTCTTCGGATGGCAGGCCCCCTCGCCCCGTGCCCTTGTGCTGCGCGCGCGGTGCAGGGCAGCGCTCGGGGAGCGCTCCCGCGCGCTGCTCCTGGCGGGAGCCCGCATGGGCCTCTCCAGGGAACCCCAGGAAGCTGCAGCTGCGGGAAGCCCAGAAGCCTTCCCCTCCTCCCCCTCCTCCTCCTCTCCATCCTCCTCCTCTTCCTCCTCCTCCTCCTCCTCCTTCTCCTCCTCCTCCTCCTCCTCCTCCTCCTACTCCATCATCCTTTTCTCATCCTCCTCCTCCTCCTCCTCCTCCCCTTCTCCTCTCATCCCTCTCCTCCTCCTCCTCCTCCCCCCAGTCCTACTCTCCTCCTCCTCCTTCCTCCTCCTCCTTCTCTCCTCCTCCTCCTCCTCCTCATCCTCCTCCTCCTCCTCCCCTCCTTCCTCCTCCTCCTCCTCCTCCTCTCCTCCTCCTCCTCCCCTCCTCCCTCCTCCTTCCGCCTCCTCCTCCTACTCCTCCTCATCCCTCCTCCTCATTCCCCTCCTCTCTCTCCCTTCTCCCTCCTCCTCCTACTCCTCCTCCTCCTCCTCCTCCCTCCTCCTCCTCCCTCCTCCTCCTCCTCCTCCTCCTCTCCTCCTTCCTCCTCCCCTCCTCCTCCTCCTCCTCCTCCTCCTCATCCTCATCCTCCTCCCCTCCTCCTCCTCCTCCTCCTCCTCCTCCGACCTCCCTCCTCCTGTCTCTCCTCCTCTCTCCTCCCTCCTCCCTCTCCTCCTCCTCCTTCCTCCTCCTCCTCATCCTCTCCTCCTCTCCTCCTCCTCCTCCTCCTCCTCCTCCTCCTCCTGCTCCCCCTCCTCCACCTCATCCTCGTCCTCCTCGTCCTCCTCCTCCTTCTCCTCCTCCTCCTCCTCCTCCGCCTCCTCTGGCGCCTCCTCCTCCGCCTCCTCCTTCTCCCGAGACGAAGCTAGGATGAGGATAACATCGGGTGAAGATACATCGAGAGTCTCTGAGATCAGGCGGCTCTGGAGGATGTCTCGGGCGCCGCGGCCTTCTCAAAACTTGCCAAAACGACGACGACGACGACGACGACGACGACGGCGGCGGCGGCGGCAGCGGCGACGAGGACGACGTCTGGCAACGCGCGCCTCCACGTGGCCTCGGGCGGCCGCCAGGGAGAGCGGCGGCCGGCCCTGCGGAGGGACCGCGGGGCCGGGCTCGCCCGCCGGCGGGCTCCTCGTCGTCGTCGTCGTCGTCGCCGACCGCGTCGTCGTCGTCGTCGTCGTCGTCGTCGTCGTCGTCGTCGTCGTCGTCGTCGTCGTCGTCGTCGTCGTCGTGAACTTCGTCGTCGTCGCCGCCGTCGTCGTCGTCGTCGTCGTCGTCGTCGTCGTCGTGAACGTCGTCGTAGTCGTCGTCGTCGTCGTCCGACCCCCCCCTGTCGTGTCATCCTCCCATTTCGTTGGACCAACGCTGGCTGGCGTGAGCCGTCGCGTCTCGATGGCCACCAAAGGTATGCCGCAATGCGTGCAAGACAAAAAATGGCAGGGCGCACAAGGTTGGACAAGACGAGGAGCCCGCCGGGCCGCCAGGGTATATAGAGCCGTGTCACAACGGCAAAAAGATGTCCCCAAGATCTCCTCCTGCTTCTCCTCCTCCACCCCTTGAGGTTCGGTCTTCCAGATTCGCCAAGGATCCGCTTCGCAGTGCTGTGCAGAACCTGGGCGAAGGACGGGGAAGGCGGACGGAGGTGCATCGCGCACCGCTCCCCGTTTAGCGACGCGCCACGCCCCCAAAAAGGAGCTTGGTGCTCGGGTCGACCCCCCCTGCGAAGCAGGTCCGGCGACTTCGCGGTCCCTTTTCTTACTGGGACCGCACCTCCTCTACCTCCTCCACAACCTCCACTTCCTCCTCTTCCT